TGATGTCATTGTTTGAAGTTGTTATATTTTCAGCCTCACATCATTGACCACCCCCATGAACAAGGGAACAACCCGCCTTCTCCATTTTCCCTTGGTTTTTACGAAGTTTTGCTTGGCAATCATGTGACACACATATCTGTATTGAACACAACTTCTGTTTTATCTCGCATTACGAGATAAGCTGCAGCATAAAACTTGAGTAGATGCAAATATTCTGTTTTTTTGTTCACTTGTTATATACTTGGATTAGTCTTTTGAACTTCTATTAATCAGAGTACTTGTTGCAGGGCTGTCGGCATTTCTCGACTGAGTTTGAGGAGTCGACGGACAAAGCTGAGAGTTGTAAGCGCACGTGGTGGCAAAGGTGAGCTCACAAGAATGCTGTAGAATCACAGTTTCAGCTTTGAGTTTCTTTATTTGCATATGCAGGTAATTTCTTTGTTTCTGTTGATTGATGTTACATAGATTGTGATGCAAACTCACCAAAGTTTCTTTGTTACTTACTCAAGCAATCTCTTTGTTCCTTAATGGTACACCTCTTTGAGTATGTTCATGTACTTGTAATGCGAACTCACCAAAATTTTCTAGACCTATGGTTTTTAAGCCAACTTTACTAATACCTTCATGTTTGTATATAAAAGTGGCTACATTGAAAAAAAGAGTAACACACCAGGTGTTTAAAAAAATGTAACATGATATTGTACCCTGTACTTTGACTTCTCTTCAAAAAATTGAAATTATCAATTAATTTTACGAAGTTTACAACTCAATACAACACTTATTTTAAGGGCAGCATTGATTATTTCATCATATTCCTTACTATTTTGAACAAGTTGAATGCCCCTCATTTTCAACAGGGTTAAATACCGTATGGAAAATGTTGATCAAGAAGAGAGAAGGAGAATTCACTTTGCGTATTCAGTGTTCGCTTCGGGGACACCGGCTGCCCTCTTCATCCGAGGATTATTTCGAGGATGAAGACACCGACGGGATCATCAAACAACCAGGCTGGGGTTGCACTTCTGTGGTTTCCTGGTCGGTTCTATTTATCCTAGTATCTCCTTTTGGCAAACATCTTAAGCTATCAGAATTGTCTTGTGCCCTGTCGAGTTGAGTCATTCTTGTGCAATATTTATGGTCGGTTGTATTGCAGTTGTGTAGCACTCCTAAGTGCCCGTTTGGTTATTGTCCAACGTGAAACACTTGTGCTATCAGGGACACGTTTGCCTGTTACGACTTAAAGCCAAGCAAGGACTAATAATGTGCGTATCTGAATCTTCTCTTGAAGGAAGGAGCTGGTTTGCCAGGTTTGGTTACAAAACCAAGCGAGACAGCACCTGCATTTGTGGGTTCTTGTTTCTGACTATGGTACCATGACAAGAGCCAGTATTTCATCAGTTGGGATTTGGAAGTGACATGTTATCTTGTGGGGTTCTGATCTCATCAGAGTTCATAAAAGGAGTCAGTTCTCGCCCACATGCACCGCATTGGGCTGCCAAAGCAAGCAATATATGCACTGTTGAGGAATTTGCAAAGCTAGTGCGGTACGCACGCTGCTCCTCAACAACCTGTACCAAGTCTACCACGGCCCGTCCTTTGCCGCGGGCTTCTACAGTGCGTCTCCCTGCGACGCCTTCCTCTTTGCCGTCTACATCGTCAACGCGAACAGCGGCGGCGGCTGCATGCATGGTGCTGCACTGCTGCAGATGGTCGGGATGGCCCAGGTCGTGTGTGTGAACCCCAGCCCCGATGACGTATTAATCAATCTGGCTCCTCCCCGGTAGCTGCAATATACGTGAGGTTTGAGGCCGATGGATGTCACCCGAGGCTGTATGAGTGGCTGGACTGGCAGGGTGGCTGGGCACTATGCAGGACGTCCTGAAACTTGATGCAGGGGACTATGGCAACCCAACTGTCTGTGGGCAGTATGGTTTATGCAGCAACGGGCAGTGCTCTTGTCCATCAAAGGAGGCTCCAACTTTGGCCTACTTCCGCCCAGTTGACAACCAAAGGATCAATCTTGGCTTCATGCCTGTGACTCCACTTTCATGCCAAACTATGCAAGATCACACACCTTTAGTCTTTAGCGGCGGAGGCGGCCGGGCCAGGTTGGGGCACGGGCGACCATGGCCATGACGGCGGCGGCCAGCGGGGGAGGAGAAGGAGGAGGTCACCGTGGGTGGCGGTGGCCCGTCGGAAGGAGGAAGAAAGAAGACGCGAGGAAATAAATTGAGTGTAAAAGCCAAAATACTCGAGTGTTCTATAGACATATTCTTGTTTTAATATTGAAAGTCAATACAAGAAATACAATACATTTGAACGTTCGATTTCATACTCGATCTTTGTTGGCGTAGAATTCATGATCATAGTTTTTTTATATAGTTTTTGAAATTAGGTCATGATGAGATCTTAATTGAACACTGCATGAACTTAAGACGCAGTCGCACATGCCATTGAAAATTCAGAGTACATAATCTGTAGCAGTGGATGTGAAAAATATTGTCAGTTCATTGGACTGCACATTAAGATACTCCTCCGTCTTAAAATAAGTGTTCCCGATGAGTCAAACTCTTTTAAATTTAGCCAAATATATATTAAAAAATATTAATATTTATAGTACATAATTAGGATCATTAGATAGATCATTGAATTTATTTTTATAATAAATTTATTTGGATATACAAATATTGCTAATGTGTTCTACAAACATAGTCAAATTTAAGAAAGTTTGACCGACACGAATACCAAAGCAACACTTATTTTTGGACGGAGAGAATAGGTTGGAAGTAAATAGGGTGCAGAAGTTCCATTTGTCTCCAAATCTCTTTGTTCATGCCTTCAGCATGCATTTGCACGGTCGTTAAAAAGTGGAATTATTGGCAGGCTCAGGCATTTGCTACTTTGGATATCATATGATCCTATCTCAGTGTCTCCCAAGCAACTTGTCGTTTGCTCTGCAATTTTATCTAGATGTATCTCTTATGCTCATGGCAGCGGGGTAGCATAGATGACCAAACGGGCTAGGCTTGCTGGGCCGGCACTGGCACGACACTAAAAAACACGGCCTGAGCATGGCACGGCCTGAGGCCCATAGTGTCAGTGCCGGCACGGGCACAGCACGGATTTTGGGCCAGCATGATATGGCCTGATAGTTTCTAGCCATTGATGACTCTAGAGGTTTCCAGCCGTTGGATGGGACTATATAAGCACCTCCCCAAATCCTAACTCCCTATTTCCTCATACTCCCCGTGGTCGTTTCCTCTCGTCCTCCCTGTAGCATGCCAGGGCTAGCACGAGCATTGTGGGCCGTCGTACCCCACGGCACGATTCAGGGGCCACGGTGGCATGGCACGGCACGACATAGCATGGCGGTGCTGCCGTGCCGTGCCGTGCCACGTGCTATGGCGGGGCCAGTGCCGTGCCACCCGTTTGGCCATGTATAGTGGGTAGTAGAAATATGGCTCCTTTTGGCGAAGTTTTAGTGCTATCAGGTGCTGTAGGCTCAAATCTTTACCTCGTTTTCGTCATTACCCATTGATTTGGCCAGTGTCACTACTACAAAACGATTTGTGGCAACGCCTCCCTTTCTTTGTAGGGGGTTGAGCCGCCCCTACAAATAGTTGTCAAATGAGCCACCCTTACAAATAAATTTGTAAGGGCGGTAGGTGTTATCAGCCGCCCCTACAAATGGCCCGATTTATAGGGACGGCTCAATATCAAGCCGCCCCTACAAATCAGATTTGTAGGGACGGCTCAATATTGAACAGTCCCTATAAATAGACACCGAGTATTAAAAATTAAGCACTAAAATTCAAATTTTGTAAACGACATCGGATAGAGAAACAACCAAAATGAAAGTTGTAGATCTCGAAAAGTTATGAAACTTTGTAGTTGACAACTTTCTGATTTGAAATCATCTTGTCAAGAAAAATTACGTTTGAATTTTCAAAAATTTGAAATTTTAATTTTTTAAACGACCTCGGATGAACAAACAGTAAAAACGAAAGTTGTAGATCTTGAAAAGTTATGAAACGTCCCTACAAATTTGCTATTTTTTGCCCTTTTTCGTGATTTCTGGAAATTGATTTGCAGGGGCGGCTTAATATAGGCTGATAACACCTGCCGCCTTTACAAATCGATTTGTAGGGACGGTCTAAGAACCGCCCCTACAAATACATGATTTGTAGAGACGCTTTGGTAGGGGTGGCTGGACAAACCACCCCTACAAAGCCTCTAGAGCCACCCCTACAAATATTATTTGACGTAGTGTGTGTCTCCTGATACAATCTACTTGTACCAGATAGCAGGCTTTGTACCACCATCCATGGGCAATGTAGGGGCGCTTGATTTTGATAAGGACTCGTTAGTTTACGGCATTACAAGGCCAGGAATCAATCCAGGTAGTAAAAAGCTTATATAAATTAAAGTTATCAATCCGGTTAGGAATTTTTCCAGGGGCTCGTTCCAGTGAAACGAACGTGGCCTAAATGGATCAACAGTCAATCGATACTGTTCAATTGTTGTTATGCTGATGGAATTGATCTGAAGTGTTTAGATTAGGAGGCAATGCCTTGGCTTGTATTGGTGCTGTAAAATGTTGAGTAAACAAGGGTTCTCTGAAGTTTCTTGTGAACTGCGAGGACCGAAAAGCACACTGTGATTTGATTATTCTTGCTACGCCGCGATGATCATTGTACTCCTATCTGGGACTGGGAAGTGACATATTACACCATTGTGGAGGTTCAGATTTCAGAGTTCAGAAAGGCTTGAGCAGTGGATTTACTATGCTTAGATAAACCGGGTACTATATATGGTTAGGCTTCAAATTTATTTTTGAAGACATGAAAAAATCGCGACTGCAAGTCAAGCCTTACCAGTTTGGGTGTTCTGAAGCTCAATAATTCAATTGAAACAATCGAAGAAATTTGGATGTTCTTCAAAGCCCCCGACACAGCGATAATAATTACAAAATGGTGGTCACTCACGCATCTGACTTGTATCTAGTTTTTCTCCGTGTCCGGTTGGCCGATCAGCTCCTTCCCCTCCTCCTCGTCCATGTCGTCATCGTCGTCGTCGTCGTCGAGGAGCTTGAGATACTCGTCGATCAGGGATGAAGCCGACAGGCGGCGGCCACTTCCTGGCGAGCCTAGCGAGACGCTTCTTCCACTCGTTGTCGGGGTTTTGGACCTATGGAGCTTCCCCGCCATGCGGTACTCTTCCTCCACCTCGTCCTCCGTCATGGCGATGTACGCATCGACGTCCGCCATCGCCAGCCACACGAACAAACGCACCTCCGTCACCCTCCGCTCCCGCGGCGTCAGCTCCTGCATCCTCTTCCCCGGGGGAGCCGAGCTGCTGCGGCGGCACTCATTCGCACCGGCGGCCCCGCTCGCCCTTCCATTGCCAATCCTTCTCTGATGATCTCCCTCCCTGCGGCCCAAGCAGAGACCAGCAATAAAATCCAAGGCTGTTGCGGGAGGATCAATCCCCGTAGAATGCAGTTTGATTTATAGATCAATTCCTACGCGTCTGGCCTTCTCCGACTCAAAACATGGAAACGACGCTTTAATTCGTTTCCGAGTCTGCCCGGCCGTGATCGAGACAGAATCGGAACCTAAATACCGGACCGGGACAAAATCCTTTTTCACGTCACGCACAGCGATTTCCCTCTCCAGTCACCGTATCAGGTAGCAGGCTGCATGATAATGGTTCTATACAAGTTCTAATCAGACACTAACGAAAGAGTTCTGTTTGAACGTGCAGCTCAGAGCTCAGAGCTCAGAGCTGTTAAGTCCAGTGTCTATATGGCCAACGGGCCGGCCCGGCCCGGCCCGGCACGGCACGGCCCGATAGCTAACGGGCCGGCACGGCACGCCGTGCCTTCCGGGCCGTGCCTCACAGGGCCACGGGCCTAGCCTTCGGCCCAGGCACGGCCCTATGGACCGATTTTCGTGCCGGGCCGGCCCGCGAAGCACGACCAGAATCACGGGCCGTGCCAGTCCACGGCCTGTTACCCTTTGCATTCACAATTTCACAAACAGATAACAGTTCATAGTTCACAGTTTCATAATTCATACATTCACAGCTAGGTAGATCACAGTTTCTTAAATTCACAAAATCAAAGTCCAAAACTCCAAATGTCCGATACAGTCACAGTTTCATACATTCACAGAATCGAAGTCGAAATATCCGATACATTCACAGATCACAGTTTCATACACTCACAGAATCAAAGTCCAAAGCCGACAGACAATAGAAATAACCAAAATGAGCTGTTTAGTGCAATGTTGCCTCATTAAAAAACTTTCTAAGTAAAACTCATCCTTGTGAGAAACCCTAGAAAGGAAAAAAGAGTGCAGCCAACTCTTAATTAACCATTGTTCAAATGATAGACAAGTCTTTCATAGTCACACACACCCTTTCACAGTGACACAGATCACACACACACTCAGGAGTCAAGTCTCAACCTCAGTACCTCACTAAGTACCAGGAGCACCACCAGCAGGTCCATCTTCATTAAGGTACAAGTTCTGGAATGAGTCTTCAAGCTCTTGGTTGTCAAGAGCATGTTGTTCCCTTTTTTCTCCTAACTCCCAGTCCTTTAAGCAGGTCAGCATCTCCACAGTCTCTGGTGACAAGCGTCGCCGCCGTTCCTCAATTATCCTACCTGTCAAACTGAAATAAGACTCCAAAGAGACAGTAGATACATGAACTGATATGATATCTCTAGTCATTATAGACAGGATTGGAAAGGTTAGCTTGTGGCCACGCCACCACAGAAGTAGGTCAAAATCATCCTCATAAGAAGTGGCATTGTCACTGTCTAAGTAAGCTGATAGCTCAGAAACAGCAGAAGTAGATGAAGATGAAGTGGCAGGGAGAAGGGAAGGACCAACAACACCTGATCCATGGCCAAACATTCTTCCCCATGCCTGTTTTTTCTTACCTGTATGATGTGATGGTTGTGCAACCCTTTGAGACCTAGCTGTACCAAACTTGCTCTCATATTTGTTAAACAGTTTATACAATTCAGTTTTGACATCAGCATAGTATGAACTATACTCAGAACTAGTGTATTCACCAAGTAATTACAGCACATTAAAGAAACCTCTCATCTTAGCTCTAGGATCAAGAATGAATGTATATGAATATAACAGAGGTATGTTCTGGCAATATTTAAGGAACTTAAGCTTCATAGGATATACAATAGCTCTCAGATTATGATCTTTTTCACATGTATGCAAATGAGAAGCAATCTCTAGGATATGGTGCAGAACAAGTGGACTTATAGGATAATAAACACCAGACAGTACAACAGTGGAGTCATAGAAAAGTTCTAGGAACTCTAATAACTTCTCAGCAAAATACCAATGATTTGTAGTCAATAATTGTGAACCATAATGGGAATTAATGAACACAGAAAATACATTCTTGTATAGAACCAAGTGTTTAAGCATCAGGTAAGTAGAATTCCATCTAACATCTATATTCAAGCCAAACTTTCTAGGTCTAACACCCTTAGCATTACAGTATTCCTTGAACAATGCAATTCTTTGATTAGAGTAATTTAAGAAGTTAATTGCAGTTCTAAAATCTTCTGTGTAAGGTTTCAACCTCTTTAATCTAGATTTTACAATGAGATTAATGATATGACAAGCACAACGTTGATGTACAAGACTGTACTTACGGTTACTAGGATCCAAAGGATCAGGTGAAGGATAAGGACCCAAGTAACAAGCAAATAGAGGTGTCAAAGTGTTCATAGCCCTAGCATTAGAAGAAACATTGTCTAGAGTGACAGAGAAAATCTTGTCAATCAGACAATACTTCTCAACCACAGCAGCAATTCTTTCAGCAATGTTTTTACCAGAATGTTTAACCTCAATCAGACTAAGACCAATAACCCTTTTCTGTAACTCCCTATCAACATTCACATAGTGAGCAACAACACTAATATAGTCCTCCTTAGCATTACCAGACCAAATGTCTGAAGTCAAAGCAATAGAAGAAGCAGCAGGCAACACAAAATTCTTAAGCTTATCACGACGTTCAGTAAACAACTTACTAAGATCTCTAGTGGTGGTCTGTCTAGAAACCTTGGCAAACCTAGGGTTATGAACAAGAACAATGTAATCCTCCCATGCCTGTGACTCACCTATACCTAATGGAAGGTCAAGCCTAGCAATCAACTTACACAACTCAGAGCGAGCAACGGCAGGATTGTAGTCCCAGTTATGCACAGATCCATCAGGATTGTAAGAAAGCCTAGACTGAACCCTAGCAACATGATCAACCTTTTTCCTACAAGATTTCTGATGCCTAATCAAATGGCCAGTACCAGCAGAAGATCTAGCAGACAATTTACTCTTACACATTTTATAGATAGCAGCAGTTCGAACCTTTTGACCATTCACAGTCTCAGAGATCTCATCAAAATCAACCTAGACACCAGATTTACGCTTACCAAGGCATGAGGTACCATATGTGCTGTTGGAGCCGACCGGTGTCCCTGTCGCCGTCGCCGACGGCGCCGGCTCCGCCCCTCCACCACCGTCGCCACCGTCTAGATCAATCGGAGCAGAGCCGCTAACGACATCGATACCCAACAACGCAGCAGCGTCATCACGGATGTCGTCGTCGTCCTCTGGGAGCAGCCCTGCCATGATCAGGTCATCGTTGTCGGTAAGTGGATAGACGACATCGTCGTCATCCGCCATGGCGACCTTGACCGCGGATGACTTATCTCCAGCACCGTTCCTCAACGGTGCGCACGACCATCGTGCCCGGTCTATGCCACAGGAAGAGGATGACGAGGCATTGGCAACCGACTTGCACGGAGGAGAAAAACAGAGTCAGAGAGATAGAGGTACAGATCCAGAGTCAGTGGAAGAGACAAGAAGTGGAGAAGACAGATCTAGGGGTTAGGGTTAGGGTTAGGGTTAGTGGAGTACCTGCGCAACCGGAGCTCGGTGCCGGAGATGACGAGGGCCACCCAGAGGAGAGAGACCAATTAGAAACGACGGCGAACGGCGGAGGAGGGACGGACGGGAACACGGTCACGAACTCACATAGTTCACCAAGAGCGAGAGAGGAGAGAGAGAGAAGGGAGGACAGAGGGAGAAGGGAGGAGAGGCGGATCGAGGTCACCGGAGTCGGAGACGATGGACGAGATCAGTAGATCACAAGAGAGCTCAGATTCGTCAGATCGTGGATGCGGCCGATGCGGGCGAGAGAGAGAGAGAGAGAGCAGAGATTGCTCCACGGCGAGCCGGCGAGCGAGTGGGGATTAGGGTTAGGGTTGGGAGCGGACTGCGGAGCCGGCCGCCGACGAGGCGACTGGGCGAGCGGGGCTCGGCTGTGCCGCGGCGAGCGAGTGGGGAACTGGGGAATGGAGATTAGGGTTAGGGTTGGGAGCGGAGAGCGGAGCGGACGAGGAGGCGAGGCGACTAGGCTGAGAGCGACTGCGGACTGCGGAGCAGGCGAGGAGAGTGGAGAGGTGAGGAGGCGAGGCGACTAGGCGAGCCGCTTATATGCAGGGGCGGGTGGCGGCGCGGGGAGGCCGGGAGGCGGCACTGGCAGGCCGGGCCGCTAGCGGGCCAGCTGCTTTGTAGCAGGCCGTGCCGTGCTGGCCCATGTGCCTGGGGTAAGGCCTAGGCACGGCCTACTCCTCCGGGCCCGCTAGCCTCCGTGACGGCCCGTGCTTGGGCCGGGCCAAAAAAACGGGCCGACAGGCTCGGGTTGCATGGCCAACTATGGTCTTGCCCCCCACACACACACACAATCCCACTCCCAGATTGAGGCGAACCATGGGGAGGCACGGCTTCATCAAGGTCAGCACTCAGCAGACAGCACTTCTCCATGCTCATTCTTCAGGGATCAGCTTCTGGTCTCTCCTCTGCAAAATGAGACAAAATGGATGTAAGCATTTTGCCATGTTTAATCAACGAGCAGATGACAAATGACATATAGATGGTCTTAGCATGCATGCATATATGCAGCATGATGTATGCAGTCACGCAAGCTAATAACACAATTACTTTGAAAATTTATTCAGGGCAAGGGACGAGTGCCTACTACGGTCTTGACATGGTTCTGTGTAGTCCGGACGATCAACATCAACTATTTATAGTAGACAACAAGAGCTTCTACTAGAAAATAAGTACTAAAATGAGTCCATCAAGATTGAAACAATTTCAAGTTAGACACCGTAAGATAGAATATGATTTTTTTAATGTAAAGCTAGTTTCATAATTTTTCGAGCTAATACAAATTTTCTATGATGAAAACATGTTTTAGGATTTTTTATTGCATTATTTTTCATGTAAAAATA